AAAATGATTCCAAGCTCTGTGAGGATGAGTCCATCATGGGCCAGGTGCTTCCTTGTTATCTTTCCGTTTTCTGTTGTCCACAGCACCATTGTGGCTTAAATCTCCTAGAGCAAATTCCACTCTATCCACACCCAAAAGAAAGTGGTTCAGGCAGTTTTAAATTGCCCTGTGAAGATTTGAGAGTTAGCTGGATGAGACAGTATCAGATGGAAAAAATAACCCCTGAAATAACTTAGAGAATAGGTAAGCAAATTGATAATATCAGCTAATGTTCTGGTGTGCAAACAAGATTTTCCATGTTTACTCTCTTCCGGTGGACTGAAGTATGGAAATCTTGGTTGCCTTTACTTTGAATGGTTGGTTTTTCAAATGACGTTTGTCATCTACCAGTCAAGATAATTAATACCAGCTATAATGAGGCCAGAGGAAGTAGATCATTTGCCACACCAAAATATCCATAAAATGTGTGTAGAAATATGTAAATTTAGCATTGTTTCAATGGCAGTGAGGTGAGAACTCTGCTTCCTTCCTCTGTTGTGTATTTCTTAGAATTCTCTTGGGCATGGTGCCACTCCCACTCTCTTCTTGGTCTGCAGACGATTTCCATTGCCCCAGGACTTGCCCCATCCTCATTTCTGAGCTCATGGGTGATGCTGGGGCTGCCTTTTTAGGAATTCAGGAAATGGAGGTACCCAGTTAAAGTTATCTGCATCTGTGTAGCTTACTCATTTCCATGCACCTTTCTTGTCACACGGTGGGAAATCTTGGCTCTAGTTTACTCAGGAGAAACATCTGTCCTTTGACATCACTTCCAACTCTTGAACTGAATTTGTAAATTTTTTCTGAAGATGGTCTCATGTTAGTTCTCTTCCTTTGTGGTTTGTTTTCTACTTAGATTTTGACAGCCTCCAAAATATGTTACCAAAAACAGAATTCAGGCAAGAAAATTGATTTTTTTTTTCATTCTAAGAAATAAGTTAACTTTGCTTCATGTAAATATCTCCATCGGTTTATTCCTAATCCTTTATAATGTTTAGAGTATTTTTTTCTCTCTCAAGGATCTGGTAATTACTAAAACAAATTTGAAACTGATTTTAAAATTAAAGTTAGTGGCTCTGTCTTTGTAAATTTTTCATTACAAATAGATTGGAAATATTCAGGTGCAATTCTGTTTTGCACCAGAGAGCACTTTGTAACACAGAAAGTCTTCAGTCAGCCAAACTCACCTGTCAGCCTGCAGAAGGCACTTATCGCAGATGGCTGACTGTTTCTAGCGCCCCATGCTGCCATGCTCGCATAGAAAGGTGTCTGCTTCACCACCCACACCTAGCACTGGAGACTTTGGAACCGTCTTTCCTCCTCAAACAGAGGCACATGTCAGCGAGGGACAGCAGCAGCACTAGGAATTAGAGAATCACAGAATCCTACAAGGGAGGAAGATGAAGCTGAGAGAGATTTGGAATTTCCACTGTAGAAAGTGGACAGTATCCTCTCTGTCCAAGTCTGTGGCCAGCATTCTTCTGAACAAATGCACATCACTCGCAGTGTCATGGGGTTGGAGCGTGCAGGCTCAGCCCTGGAGGAAGTGAGTTGGCAGGACCCCCTTCTGCATGCCGGTCGTCTCCAGTACAGCCCAGTCTCAGCCTCTCCATGGGGCCCTCATGAGATGTAAGTGATGTGGTGCCCCCATCCTTACTCTGTCTCTCTTGAGGGGTGTCTCCAAGGGCTTTTTTATAAGTGAGAACATGTTCTTAGAAAGTGCCTCTTACACTTCAGTGACTAGTCACATGTCGGGGTGGCCTTGCTTTAAAGAATGTGGAAGACTCGAAAACAGTCTTAGGGTTGGCCTCAGTGAACCATGATTGCGCCACTCCAGCCTGGATTACAGAGCAAGAGACCCTGTTAAAAAAGAAAAAAAAAAAAACACTTAGTATTTATTTTTATGTTAAATATAATTTTCATTATGGTAAAATAACGTACTATAAAATTTATAATTTCAACCATTTTAAGTATAACTTGGTAGATATAATTTTAACATGTGTATAGATCTTGATATCTTTCCACTTAAAAAGTACACTGGTTACTATAATAAAAACATAGCGCTGAAAGTCTTTCAGGTTCCCAAGCGTGACTTTAGGAAAGCTCTTATTGGGTCCCGCCAGGCCTCCTACCTCCCTCCTCCCACCTCCAGGAGCAGCTGCGTGTTCTACAGCCTGTGCATGCAGGTGGGTCTGCCGCAGCCCCCAAGTGAGTGCACAGAGGAGGCTCCCAGGCTGTCCCTGTTCCCTGCCTGTGCCATGCTGTCACCTTCCTTTGCATGTTCTGCACCACGCCCCAGCCCTCTTCTTGCTGCTCTTCAAATACAGCTGATTTTTAGAGGTCAGATGAACTGTGACTGTGATGGGAAACATGGCTCTTCCTTCAGTGACGGGTAGCTGAGTTGACCTCCACCCATGCTCTCTGGGTGTCTTGTGGGAGCTGCTGGGAGAGCTGCTGACTGCTGCAGAGCCTGCCAAACTGGGGACCTGGTGGGTAGGACAGCTGGCCCTGCTTCTCTCCTTGTCTGCTCCACAAACTTTTGTTGTCACAGATTAATGACCAAAATTTGTCTACAGACTCATTTTATCCAATCTATAAATTAAGGTATACCCCAAGAAATTTATTCCAACATGATGTTATCAAATCATAAGCATAATGAATTAATCTGTATGTCCCCTTTTTCTCTAATTAAACATTTACTTTACATTTTAAACTTTTTAAATAAAAATGTTTATTAATTTTTGAAAAGACAGACTTATGGTAGCCACTCCCCTGTCAGACTGTTTGTTTCTTAAACATATTTTTAAAGGATCACTTTTTTAAAAGAATGTTTCCTGTGTAACCAAATGAATAGTAAAGAATGAATTGCAGTGGGAGGAACAATACACTTTTTAACTGTGCCAAAAGTGAGTTTCTGCACCAAGTCTATGCCCAGCAGAAGTGGGAGTCATTTGAATGTGTTAGCTGGCCCCAGACAACTCTGCTTCACAAGGCAACAGTGGCCATCCAAACCATTATCTATTTTAAAAATAGTTTTTAAAAACAGTAGAGAAGCTGATTTTTTATGAGACTAAGCATTTTATTTAACCATAGCCATTCTTCAGCTAAGCGTCGTGCATTAAATATAAATGTATAATGTGTCTAAACTTTTTTAATTAGCTGGTACCATCCTCTAAATAAAAGTCATTAAATTCAAATACAACTTTCTTATGGCTGTGCTTCTCGAACAGCATTTCTCAAAGAGAATTCCAAGGGAACACTAGTTTCTCAGGACATTGTTAGTGATGACACCAAAAAGGGTTTCATGGTTATAAATGGGAGAAGCTTTAGTTTAAAACAGTATGCCACAGGTGCCTTTTACACGGGGCTCTCCAGGCCCTCCGCCATGTCCAGTCCCACTGTAGCGTGTGAGGGTCCTGCCAGCCACAGATGCACCACACAGCAACAGGCAGGGAGTTCTGTTCTCATGGGTTACACTTCACAGAACACTTTTTGGGAAACTCCAAAATTTTAGGAAAATTGATAAGCACTCTGTCACTATCTGGAAAGGGTTGTTTATTTTTCTATACTGTATAAAGACCTCTTTTTACACTCATCTTTTATCATCCTCCTAATTGTACTCGGTTTCTTCACAGAGTAACACTAGGATTAAAATCCTGTCTTAAACTGGGCAGATTTTTGAGCAAAAAACAGCATAAAAGTTTATGGCTTTAGCAATGACAATACTGGTAACTATAGTAATATCAAGTGGCTAATGTGTTGGATACTCACTCTGAGTATAGAAACCCTAGTAGGTGCTGTACATATGTTCTTTACTTCCTTTACTCCTTGCAATAATGCCAGCAGCAACCCCCAGTTTCCCAGAAGGGCTGATGTAAGAGTCAAGCATTTTCTTAAGGTCTCACAGTGTATGAAAGGCAGAGCTTAAGCAAGATGAGTTTCTTGACTCCAGGGGCCCTGCTGTTTCCCACCTCTGTTAACAAGGGGCTCAGGTAAAGGTTAGAGCCAGGTCTCGGAAGTGCAGTCAGATCTAAGGTGAGAACCATATAACTGAAATCATAACAGTGTTGTCCTTTTGTGTCCTTCTATATATTTTACTTCAGATAACTTTTCTTTTTTGTGTGTGTGACGGAATTTGGCTCTTGTTGCCCAGCTGTAGTGCAATGACGTGATCTCGGCTCACTGCAACCTTCGCCTACCAGGTTCAAGAGATTCTCCTGCCTCAGCCTCCCGAGTAGCTGGGATTACGGGCATCTGCCACCATGCCTGGCTAACTTTTGTGTTTTTAGTAGAGACAGGGTTTCACCATGTTGGCCAGGCTGGTCCCGAACTGCTGACCTCAGGTGATCCATCCGCCTCAGCCTCCCAAAGTGCTGGGATTATAGGCATGAGCCACCACACCCAGCTCAGATAACTTTTCTTACATGTAATACATATCTGTTTGGGAAAAATATACAAAATGCCCAATCCAAAGGAGGAAAGTAAATATCACCTTCAAACTCTACTCAGATAACCACTAAAAACATTCTTATAGGCTTCAGTCTTTTCCTTTGGCTTAATATATATATAGATGCATGCATAGATACACATACATACACACACACACACACACACAGTGAGAGAGTTAATTTGTTGCCTACTTTTTTCTTAGCAGGGTGTCACAAACGTGTTTCCATGTCCATAAATATTTTTTTTGTAACCATTTCAGTGACTGTATAATATTTCACTGTGTGGATGGATCCTAATTTAGTGAGCAAGTTCCTGTTGTGCAATTGATTTCCCACAGTGTCTGTCCATCTGTCTGTGTGTCTTCTTTCTTCCCCATCTGAATCGCCTCACATCTCGAATTGTAGTTCCATGGCCTTAGGCATTAGAGGCTGTTAAGCATTCTACCAGCTCACTGGCCTAGTACTCAGTAAGGGATGTCTGATGATGAATACCTTTAACTTTCCTTGTTCCAGGACAGCGGGGATTTTTAGTTTGATTGACACCCTATGGCCCCCAGCGATACCTCTGAAAACACCTGGCCGCGACCAGCCCTGTGAAGAGGTAAGCCCGGCACTGGAAAAACTTCCCCAGTTGCGGACTACTCCATGCCAGGTGCCAAGCCAGGCATCATCACTGCCACCCACATGGTCTGTGTCCCCCACTCCAGTGGCAACAAGGAGCCCCTGTGCAGCCAGTTCCTTTGTGCTGATGCATGAATATGAGCCAGGACTGGGATTCAGGTCCTGGAGACAAAGCTCTGGCTGCCTTCCCTACTGTGCTGCACATTTTCTTGAAGTTAACTTATGATGAATGCGTAAACCACAACCCTCATATACTGTTGGAACAATTGGGGTCTCAGCCTCATACTAAAGCAAACATATAGAATTTTTCCCACGAACTTCTAGTCACTCATAGAACCAACACTCAGTTACCAATTGGAGCAGGAACTCAATACAATCCATAGACATTCGTACAACGTCCTGGGTAGCCAGGAACTTCCATTGCCCTGCTTGTCTATGATAGTGTCTCAGAAGAAGCAAAATGGATGAAAAGTGTTCCCTCCTCCCTCCTGAGCCTTTTCCAGCAGGTTAACCAGCTGCTGCTTTGGGCCAGAGCTCCCAAAACAACTGAGGCTGTCTTCCTTAGGTTGTGGCTGACTTCTTAGTAGTGCTAAGTCTGTGACCCTGTACTGTGCCAAACAGCATAGTAGTTGTCAAAACACACGGTGGCTCACGCCTGTAATCCCAGCATTTGGGAGGCCGAGGCGGGCGGATCATCTGAGGTCGAGAGTTTGAGACCAACCTGACCAACATGGAGAAACCCCGTCTCTACTAAAAATACAAAATTAGCTGGGCATTGTGGCGCATGGCTGCAATCCCAGCTACCCAGGAGGCTGAGGCAGGAGAATCACTTGAACCCAGGAGGCGGAGGTTGCAGTGAGCCGAGATGGCGCCATTGCAATCCAGCCAACAAGAGCAAAACTCTGTCTCAAAAAACAAAAAAAAAGCCATTTCTAGATTACTTAAGGGGAAGTAATTTCTAGATGATATTTTCAGTATAACCTGAAAGATTTCTAAAATGAAATCTTGAATTAATAGGTTCATAAGTATGGAAGTTCTTATGCTTGGTCCCAGAAGTAAACAATGCAGTCCATTCCTTGTATAGCATTCCAGAGAGAGGATGCATCTGTAAGCGAGTATGTATATATTAAAGAGGAGATTTTAATCATGTGCTTGAGTCTTTTAACAATACATTCCCCTTCTGCTTTTGCCTCATGTAAACAGATAAAAACTCATCTGCCTCCTCCAGCCTTATGTTACATCCTCACAGCTCATCCAAATCTGGGACAAATTGATATAATTGACGGAGACCCCATTTATAAGCTTTACCAGCCTCCAGTTACCCGCTGCTTAAGAGACATTATCCAGGTAATGTTTTTGTTTCTAACAAGTTATTTAGGTATTAGCTGTGTCTGTGTGCTTTGTGTAATGCTGCCAACCTTTTCTAATTCCTTTCCAGATGAATGATCTTGGTACCCGTTGCAGTTTCTATGCCAGGGTGATTTACCAAAGACCACAGGTAATAATCTGTCTCAATCTCTCAGTCTCTCTCTCTCTCTCAATCTCTCAGCCCCTCTCTCTCTCTCTCACACACACACACACACACGCACACATACACACACGGTGTTAGAGGTTTGTGAAAGGGCAGTCTCCTTTGGAAATTAATAGATTGCCAAAACAGAAAAGCGTTTTTAAAGTCCAGTTAAGTATGCCCCATATACTGAAGTGGCAGTAAATCCATTCCTTTTACAGGTGCGGATTACCAGCCAGTGTGCTAAGCACTGGGGTGTAAGACACCCAAGTACAACCCTGTCCCCAAATCTTCTCAGCCCAGTAATTTCATTCTTTCCTGACAGTTAGGCAGGTTGAAGAAAGGAAAGAGATGCAGAAACCTCATTTATGTGGTGGAAATGGTAATCTCAGGATTGAGCTCAGCTACTTCTGGGAACTTTTAGAGCCTTTGAAACTGAAAGCCCTCCCATCCCACCTCCATGGTCCCTATGAGGCCTCGGCCTATTCTAGGGAGCAGCGGCCTAGAGGAGCTTGCTATCAATCAGCTAGGAGTAGAGGAGGGAAGGAAACCTGCTTGCCAGTTTGAATGCATGGACTACATTCTGCAAGAAACCTCTGCTGGCCCTTACCTTATGGAGGAATATCCATGTAGATCTAATCATCCAAGAGGGATTGAGAACATCCTATTTGTTAAACTCTTATCCACTCATAGGCAATGTGCACTGGGTGCATCTGCCATGGTGCAGGAGAGAGTGAGTGCCCCACACATTGCCTCCTTGAGGGTGTGTATGAGTGGAGCAAACCAGGCCCCAGATGCCTGCACTCACCTGGGCTGTCAGTGGATCACCAGCTACCAGCCAGGCCAGAATACCCAGGAATTGCCCAGCAAGGAGTCTCAAGGGAGGGCAGGAGGCTGGCACCTCAGCCAGCAACCTCGGCCAGGTGCCCCAGTGCACCTTGAGTCAGGGGACAGTGGTGTGGGTGGCACCAGGGGCTGTCTTCTAATCATACTATGCCTGGTTATCAAGATCTGACACTCACACCCCTCACTTTTCTTTTTGCTGATGAAATATGCTAAAGCACACCCAGACACCTTGTGCCATTTCCCCTTACATGCTTGTTATGAATCTCTACAAAGCATTCATGCTTGCATACAACCCAATTCAGCTGCCTGGTTTTGGAGCCTTTCTCTTCCGCTTAAGTTATTCAGAGTTATTTTCTGTTGTGCATTTATTTTGAACAAATTCTTTGCATTTCTCTGATCATTCTTAGTGGAAGAACAAGAGAGTGACTAAAAGAATATGTTTCTTAACTTCTAGTCAAGTTCTTGATGAGTTGCATATATCCAAGTATCATTAAATCATTGTTATCACAAGCATGTTAAATCAGCTCCTCTTCCATCTGCATCAGGAGTAGTGGGCAGACTGTTTCTGTAAAGAGCCAGATAGTCAATATTTTAGGCTTCTTGGGTTGTATGGTTTTCATAGCAACTACTCAGCTCCACCTTGCAGTGCAAAAGCAGCCATGTTGTCATTCACAAATGAATGAGCAGGGCTGTGTTTCAGAAACCTTTATTTACAGACACCAAAATTTGAATTTAACTTAATTTTTACTTGTCACAAAGTATTCTTATGGTTTTTTTAACCATTTAAAAATGTAAGAACCTTGAATAAATATAAAAAGCACGCTTAGCTTACAGGCCACACATAAGCAGGGGGCAGGCTGGATTAGCCCACAGGCCTTGGTTTGCTCACGTTCTTCAGGTGCTGAGCATGGCTGGAGGACACAGGAACTGTGACGCAGAAAAAAAAACAACCCTTGTGTCTCCTGGCATCCTGTAGGTTGTACTGAATGTGCAGTGTGGTGTGTGTCAGGGAGAGGAGACAGGGAGGGCCATCTACTGACAGCCACCGAGTAGGGTGCAAGCTTGTTACCTAAGGATGCCATAGGTGCTGTGCAAGAACACAGCGCTGGTACATATGATCATCATATGAAAGAACTTTAAGGCTTTATCTCAATTTAATTTTTACATTTCAGATGTAAGGAATGTGCTTTAGGTGATATGCTAGTAACTGTCAATTGCCTTTCCTTTCCTTCTCTGCAGAAAGTGTGTGTGTGTTTCTGCAGCTTAACCTGTGGATTATCTAGTGCTTGCCAACGCATAGAGTGTTGCCCACAGAAAGGAAATCAGAGGGCTGAGTTGTGAATATAAATGAACCACATTTAGCTCTTTATTTTTTATTATCAATACTTCACCTTTAATTTCTGTGAGAGATTTTTCAGATTTTCCAACCATTCTCGTGTATATATCATTTTAGCAGCAATAGTGTCACTGTTCTTAATTCCAAGTGGAGGAGACCAAGGCTAGGCCTGGTATCTGCTATCTCTGATACACACAACCAAACCCAGGTGGAGCCTGGCATGGGTTTCCTAACTCTTACTCAGCCCAGTGTCCCATGGTGCTTCCTGACTCCACAGTCCTTCAGTTACCTGGAGCCCTGGGGGTGGAGCAGGGACGCAACACACCCCTACCCCCAACCACATGCTGGCTGAGCTTGTGCAGGTACTTCACCACATTGTCTCATGTCCTTGTCTGTCAAATGGGTGTGACATTCTCTCACCATATTGGATTGTTCTAGGATGAATTTAGGAGTTTTAAAATACCCTTTTTCGTTTGTTTTCTCTTCATCTATTCCCCTTTTCATCATTTGACAGCTGATCAGTGCCTCTCATGAAGAATTAGAGAATGACTGACATGAGTCCCTCAGTGGTACTCCCTGTGAGCACCCCAGTGTCCGGCTCAGCAGATAGGAGGATAGGGCTCCCAGCAAGGACGAGGCAGGGCATGTACTATGTCTCATACTTTCCAAGCCCGAGGAGACCTAAGACTGCCTTCACGTTCCTCTGCTCACCTTGAGAAGGGTCAGTGTGTGTGGGGATGCCCTTGACATCTGGCACATTCCTGCTCTTCTGGGTCATGGGCCAGGCAGTGGCTCTCTGTGAAGGTGCCATTCACCCACAGGGAGAATGCTGTCCTCATAGCAGCCACATGGCAGTTGCAGCTCACACTCCTGCCCATGGTCCTCTGGCTGAGACTGAGGTTGAAAGTAAAGAAAGCAGATGTCAAAATGCTTGCACCAAAACCAGTTGGAGGGGAACTCTGGGGCAGAGAAAGACCAAGAGTGAAGCAGGTCATCCAGCTTGCCTTGTGAAGGAGTCCTCCCTCAGGGAAGTAGAGAAGATATGTTAATCACCTCCTATCCAAAAAACAGGCTCCCACCAGTGCAAGTGCAGCTTTCAGTGAGCATGACTTCCAGTGGGCATGTGTGCCTAGGAATCAGTGGTCCTATAGCCACAAAACAGTCAAAGACCTGGAACCCAATGGAACAGGTTCCATGATCCACTGAAATTCTATCTGTCTCCTGTAGTCTGCTTTTGTAAGAGAATCACCAGAAACCAGCTGTCTCAAGAAGGAATTGAAATAAGCTGAGTCCTGGGGCCAGTCCGTAGTGAAACCAGTGGCCTGCATCCTTGGCAGTGAGAGTTGACTTTCAGAATGGCACTATGAGTCACTGCTGGAACTCGAGCCATAAAAACAGACCTAGACTAGGTGTGGTGGCTCACACCTGTCATCCTAGCACTTTGGGAGGCTGAGGCTAGAGGATCTCTTGAGGCTAGGAGTTCCAGACCAGCCTGGGCAACAAAGCACAACCCCATCTCTACAAAACAATAAAAAATTAGCCAGGCATGGTGCTGCATACCTATCATCTCAGCTACTTGGGAGGCTGACGTGGGAGGATCCTGTGAGCCCAGGAGGTTGCTGCAGTGAGCTGTGATTGCACCACTGCACTCCAGCCTGGGTGACAGAGTAAGACCTTGTCTCAAAAAAAAAAAAAAAAAAAACAGATTCAGTTGTATTTATATTACACTAAAGACTAAGTCATGAAGGTGAAAAAGATAGTTTTCATATTTAACTTTTATTTTGTAATTAGTTTCACAGTAGATTGCAAAGAAATATACCAGGGGGTCTGGTGCACCCCTCCACCCCCATGTTAATATCCCACACCCACAGTAACCACAGTAAAAACCAAAACCAGCTGGGTGCAGTGGCTCACGCCTGTAATCCCAGCACTTTGGGAGGCCAAGGCAGGCGGATCACAAGGTCAGGAGATCGAAACCATCCTAGCTAATGGTCCTGGCTAATTTTCAGTGGAAACCCTGTCTCCACTAAAAATACAAAAAAAGTAGCTGGGCGTGGTGGCAAGCGCCTGTAGTCCCAGCTACTTGGGAGGCTGAGGCAGGAGAATGGCGTGAACCTGGGAGGCGGAGCTTGCAGTGAGCCAAGATCATGCCACTGCACTCCAGTCTGGGCAACAGAGTGAGACTCCGTCTCAACAACAACAACAAAAAAAAAAAAAAAACAAGAAACTGACAGGCACAATCCATGGAGCACATTCAGGTTTCAACATCCTTGTGTGCACTCTGTGTGTTTGTGTGTGTGTGTGCGCTTCTGTGCAGTTTTGTCACATGTACAGCCTTGCATCACCATCACTGCAGTCAGAATCCTCTGCTGTGCCATCACCACCGATTCCCGTGTTGCCCTTTATAGCCACGTCGATCGTTTTTTCATCCCTACCCCTGGCAACCACTCACATGTTCTCTGTCATTATAATTATGTTGTTTTATGGTTGTTACATAACTGGAACCATGCAATATATATCTGTATTAGTTTCCTAGGATTATCATATAAAGTTCCAAAAACTAGATAGCTTAAAACAATAGAAATGTATTCTCTCACACTTCTGGAGGCCAGAAGTCTGAAATCAAGGTGTTAGCAGTGGCCAGGCACAATGGCTCACACCTGTAATCTCAGCACTTTGGGAGGCTGAGGCAGGAGGATCACTTGAGGCCAGGAGCCCGAGACCACCTTGGCCAACATAGTGAGGCTCCATCTCTATTTAAATTGTTTTTTAGGCCCGGTGCTGTGGCTCACACCTGTAATACCAG